AAAAAAAAAAGTTTGCTGCAATTAGATTAAATATACCATATGGTACAAGATACACCTAAGATGTGAAAAACGAAGCTGAGAAGAAAGAAGTAAAGTTGGCAATTGGAAGAGATACACACAAGCACATCTTTACCAACTTTAAACTTTTGGGGACCGTTAAAAAGCAAAGATTCATTCATATCCACACCACAGCTCATTACATGCCCATTTGTGAGCATTTATGTTGACCACCCCTCATCATTTCTCACAACACAATCCACCTTTGTGGCTTTCCCCCTTTTGGGCTTGGGTCCTCTATTCAGTATTATTATATTATTTCATTTCATTTTCAAACACACAAATTATGAAATTTTAGAAATAAAAAAAGGGAGGAGGAGGTTTGTCAAACAAGTTGGCTAGCTAGACATGCACTATTTCTTAATTCCAGAGTGGTCGTATGGTTAGTTGGTTAGGGGTTATTTCAAATCTTATTGATTGAGGTTTATATTTTGAAAAATTAATAAGAAGATAATTTTTTTAATAAAATTTTTAATTTAAATATGAATAATTTATTTTTCATTAAATTAAAAAAATTAATTTAGTAATACTCTAATTGCTATAAAAAACTTAAAAGTGATCACATGGTTAATATGTTGAATGTTTGCTTTAAAACAAATAAATATAGATTAACATAAAAAAAAGCAAGATTAAAGTTGTAAAGCATGTTCGGCAGCACCAAAAAAAAATAAAAAATAGTAGAAAAGCAAGAGAAGGAGACTGTAGCTGATATCATAATTCAAGCAAAAGTAATGTTAATAATCATACTTTTCCTTTAAGCTTTTGCCTTTTTTCGAAACATTGGTTTCAAATCATTATAATTTATGCCGGTGATTTGACTCCATTCCACATGTCACCAAGCACACCAAGCAACCATTTATCCAGACACATACAGCTATGATACTGTACAATTTGTCTTTTGAATATTTTTAATTCAAAATTTTAAAGATAGTTGTTTTAGTACTTATAATTATTAATAGGATTCAAAAAATCAAGTTCCCCGTATATCAAGAACTTTTATCACAGTTATTTATTATTTATTTATTAAGTGAGTTTTAATCAAGTGTTTATTTAATGAATAATTACGATGGACGTTATGATTTTTATTTTTTTGAATTATTAATAAAAAATAACTTTAATATTATAATATTTATTTCATCATCAATATCTATAAAATATGTATATTTTTAAAAAAATTTATTAAGTATTTCTATAGTGGTTAATACACAATTTTAAATTACAATCCCAATTTTATTTTATTCTATTTTATTTTATTTGATGGTCAAATGGCATGTTTGTTCAACTTGTAGACGTGAGACTAAATTCACCTCTTCAGTTTGGTTGTAAGCGTCCATCCCACCTAAGAATATGATGCCTATGAAGAATCAACTTGTTATTTCTTCTAAGAATTAAACCTTCTATTAAATTATTAACGCAATACATTATAAGCACAATCTAAATAGTTAGATAATCATTATCTTAACAAAAGTTAAAATAAATTTTAAATTTAAATCATATAACATAGAGATACATTAAGTAGATAAAAAAAAAAAAGAGAAATGATTCCTTTTAAATGTGCAATTCAATATATATATATTTTTTTCCTTGGTGACACATTCGAGGAATACCTTTCATTGGGATTTTAGACCTAAGAGTAAATATTCCCCGGACAATCGTGAACCCTAAACAAATTCAGCCCGTTAATTCATTTCAAACTTTCCTTTCTCCACAGTCCACATAAAATGGGTTCTTTGATTATAAGCCCAAATGATTATCCATGGTAGCATTAGAGCTACGTTCAAAGAATCATGGCCCATTACCATTTAGCCTGTCGGATTATGTAGCTAAGCTTTCTGCTTCTCCGTTACACTTTTTTATTAAAAAAACAAAAAAAAAAAGAAAAAGAAAAAGAAAAAGAAAAATATAAATTCAAAGAACTGATTTTTCAATATATAAACCATTTACCATTGTATTTTTTTATATTACTATTAAAGTTTGCATCATCTTCCATAAATATTCTGTGATTTTTTTTTTAACAATTTTGCAAATAATAAGATTTAAACCATTGTCTATAAAAAAAATACACTTAAACATGATTGGACACCATTGAACTGAAGGTACAAGTGCAATATTCTTTGTGATTTGATGGATTATATATTTGTAAAATGTATATTTCTGTTTATATGTTTCTACTAGATGATTGAACTTGAAGTATTAAAGAAACACAACACGCAAATGAAAGAATCTTAAATTGGAATGATTATGATTTGTTAACACCAATTTTTTTAGTTGCATACTGAAGAGTATTTTTTTTTTTTTATCTTATCTCATTCACATTTAATATGATTCAAATATATGATCTCTTATTTTCAGTGAAAAAATTATTATTAAATTAATTAAATCATTAGCATTAATAACATTTCTTAATCAAAAATCATCTTAATAATTATATAGTATTAAGTAAAGAAATATATTTTAATTCACATACTTTATTAGTGAAAAAAAAATAATAATAAAAATTACTATCACCCTATGTTATAGTTAACAGATCATTTTCGAAACTGAAAATGGGATGTACATGAAATTTTACCGGTAACATAGTGATCATCGAATATACTGAGAAGAGTCAAATGTTCTGTATGTTCTAATGACAAAACTTTTCTTTTAGTCTTTTATCTTATTAAATTTATAAGTTTTAATTCATCACTTTATATTATAATATTTTTAATCCCTCACTTATTAGAATTAAAAAAAAATAGACCTCACTTATTATATTTTGTTAGTTTTATTAGTTAAATACTAACTCTATTAATCGATTATTAACTAATTATTAGTTGATAAAAACTTATTTTTAGTTAATTGAATTGATAAATAATTAACAGAACTATTCTATTAACTAACTGTTAACTTTATTAATTAATTATTAATTGATTATTAGTTGATAAAAACTTACTTTCAACTAATAAAATTAACAATTAGTTAACAGAACTAACAAAATATTATAAAATTAAAGCTATTTTCTTCGATTTTAAATAAATAAGAAATTAAAAGTATTATACTATCAAATAGATTAAAATCTACAAACTTAATAATGTAAAAGATAATGTAAAAGGCAAATAGTAGATTTTTGCCCCCATTTTCGGGGTCAGCAAGCTAATGGAACTGTGACACTTCTAAGGTACCCTAGAGGACATGTGGCTTCCGGAGAAGTAAGAATAACCCTTTCTTAGATTGTCTTTTGTTTCAAACACAAGAGGAGGTCCGAAGAGGAACAACAACAAACACCTGGGGGACTGTACTGCCCATATCATAAACTAATGGCTGTGGTATGCTACCTATTAAATTTGTTAAAGTCATTAAAATTATTAAAATTTTACTTTACTTCAATTTAATTTAATTATTAAAAATAGTTAATAAAATAATTAATATTTATTATTTAATATATTAAAATTAATTTAATTAGACATTTTTAAATATCATAACTAATTATTTTAAAAAATTAATGGACAACAATTTGTATTACAAAATATTAAATAAAAAAATCTTAAAATTATGTTATTTTAATAAAATATCACAAAAAAATAAAATTAAGATATTTTAATCTTTTTTAATAGAACTTTATAAAAACAAAGTAGTTTGAAATATTTTTCATCTAATTTTTTATAATACAGATTGATGTTCACTTTTTCATTAAAAAAATTTTAAACGGATAAAAAAACAATTAAAATTAGTGACATTAACAAAATTTTTTGTGGCAGTAACCTCATCACAATACTAAACAATACTGAAAAAGTGCACTGAAGAAACTAGAAATTTGGCTTGATGGACAAGGGAAATCAGTGGGAACAAAAAGGGTTAAAAAGAATGCCAAAGGGATTCTGTGGAAGTGTGAGAATCACAGGTGATTGGTGGGATGGCTTCTTCTTCTACAAGGGAAAAAGGTTTTGACAAAGACACTGTACCAAAGAACAAAATGTGATTTGCATGATTGGTCTGCAAGTGAATGTAAAATGTCTTTGTTTTCAAATAGAATATATTGTGACACAAACTTCACCCTCTGTCTAAGCAAGCTCCTTGAGCTTTTCTCTTCTTACTCTTTGTCTTCTTTTTGATTCCCATTCTTCACCTTCATGAGCCACACCCACTTCTCCAAATGGGTTGGTTGCAATCCCTTTTCTCTCCATTGAAGAAGCTTTGGTTCCGTAGGCACTCCGCTAATCAGAAGAAGAGTATGTTCCCTTCAGCATCTGAAGTTTCATAATTATATCTACATTTCATCATTTTCGCATACTTTCCATGCTTAATGCTCTTCAATTTGTTTCAAATTCATGCGTAGATCAATCAACTCTCAACTCATCATCCTTTTGTCCTTCCCTGTTACCGTCCATCGCCTAGTTTTTAATACCAATTAACCAAGTGTTCTAACCTCCTTAATTGTTCCCGATTGCCATCATAATTCTTGGGAATGCATTTAAACCCAGTTACGTTTTTCTGTTTCATTTCCTGGGTTCCTTTATATTTTTGTTTACACCTCAACTGAAATTTGATTGTTCACAATTTTGGCAGGGAGAGGGATATACATTTTGTACGAAGATGTAAAATCCTGCCAATGCGAAGATGTGCATGTTCTATGGTCAATACTAGTGGAATCACAGACACCTTCATTGCCATTAAAACAGTAAACACAGATCAGATGAAGGAGCAGAGTTTTAAAGCAACAATGAGACTTCCCCTCTCTTGTACATAAGTATATATATAAATATATTTATGATACTTTCTTACTCAATGCAAAAGTTTTTGATTCCCTAATTTTCTTCCCTGAGTTTTTCATATTCCTTCTTTATTTGCAACGACTAAACACCCATTTGGATATGAACATCTGTCCCTTCACCACAAAAACTAAAACTTCATTGGCATTTTCCCAAGTTTCCTCACATATATATGTGCATCAAACTCATAAAAGACTAACTTCCTGTATTATTATCTAAACTTTTTTTAGTTAATGACCCTTGTTAAGAAGGATAGGAGATGGGAATTAAGGGAGGTTTAGTTATGTTCTTTTGGAATTTTGGCTTCAAATTGTTGGTTTGTCAGTTTCAGCAGTTGGGGTTTGCGGTTATATTTCCTTGTTTTATTGTCGTTGGTGAAGTTGACTTGGAAAATCATGAATAGATGTGGTAACTTACATAATTGTCATGCCTTAAGCTCGGTATTAAACAATTGATTAAAACTAGTTTCAGGTTGAAAGCTTCATCATTTAATATATATATAGGAGGGATTTATTTACACACAAGTTTTAAACATTATATTTATATAAAATCTTAACTATTTATTTCTTCACTTTCAATTATTAAGATTTATCATGACTTTTTAAATGAAAATAATAATTAATTCTAATAAATATGAATAAATATATGGGTAACAAAACTGTAATAATTTAAGGTAAAAATGGGCAACAATAACAAGACTTAATATCAAATTTAATGATGGAAATGCATGCAACAAGAGGGGTTTCAACTTAAACCATCTAAAGGAGAAATTAACGTTTCATAGTTCGTCTAGCAGGTAAAAATATCAGTTTGGTTCTGAGAAAAGACAAATAGTTTTCATCAAGAGTATTTTTGTCTTTTTATACGATGCATTGATATTTTTAGGTGCAAGGAGAACGGTAAAAACCTTTTCTAATAAAAGAAAAGCATGTATTGAATATATATATATATATATGAAAAAAGTGCACATCAATCCCAATTTTCATACAAAAATTTCAGTATCAATTTTAAAAACACCACCCTTTAATAAATATTTTCAAAAATCAATTGTAAATTTAATGTTCTATTTATATAGATCATATGTCCAATTTTTAGATTGATCTAATATTTATAATAATTTGATAAAGAAACTTATATTTCCTAATATATATTTAACGATAATAAATTTTCTACAATTAATGAACTAGTTATATATATTTAATCAATCTAAAAATTAATATATATGATCTATATGAACAAAACACTAAATTTAACGATTGATTTTTTGAAATATTTATTAGAGTGTTGTTTTTTAAGTTGAGACTCTAATTTTATTTGAAAATCGAGATTAATATACACTATCTCATATATATATATATATATTGTTTGTTCATTTGGTTATATTGATAGAGTGTTGTTTTTTAAGTTGAGACTCTAATTTTATTTGAAAATCGAGATTAATATACACTATCTCATATATATATATATATATATATTGTTCATTTGGTTATATTGATAATTGATAGACATTATACCTTAATAAACAAGGAATAACATTATTTAAACATTTTTTATTTTTTTTTTGCCACAATTTAAACATTTTATTAATTTCATTAATAGCATTTTTTATTTAACATAAATAGTCTTTCTTGCAAATAATAATCATTCTTCCAATAATTATGAATCAAACTTGTTAGTACCAATCATAAGTAGTCAATGGAAAATATCACAATAAGGATTCAAAGTTTCTATCTCCGATCATTAAGGTGCGAAAAAAAAATTCTGAAAAATATGTTTTTAATCTGATGAGAACTATGACAATTTGGAGTATAATCCAATCAACTATTTTTTCTTTTTTTTTATCAAGACAGGGATATCATTACTAATAGGTATAACAAATATAGAAATAAAATAAAGCCAAGCACCATCAACAAACCAAACATCAGAAACTAATATCTCTTATTATTTCTGAAAATGAAAATAGATCCAAGGTGCTGCAAGGGTTATCCTCTTATATTAATTAATATTTGTATGATACCCTATAAGACATGGGTTTTTCCTCTATACGAAGCAACAAGAGGATCTTAACATATTTTCAGATGCCCTGAGGTTTTTAATAAAAAGAAGGCTGAGAATTATGTGATACCTCAACAATCTGAACGGAAGAGAACAATTTCAATGCAGAACAGAGCTCCAGAGAATTCTGCACTTCTTTAGTTCAAAAGGCTCTTCTGATCAGTCCTTCAAAATAACTGCTCAAGAGAAAAAGAAAACAGCAAAATGTTAGGTAGTTTTCTTTGTATGTAACAAAACTATAGATAGTGATTGGCCTTTTCCTGGATTACCTGTTGTCCTCACGCAAGCAGAAAAGGTAAGGCAATAGGGTAACAGACAACAGGAGAAAGCATTCACATGCATGGAACTTTTATAAGCCAAATTTTAGGACGGTGCAAAGAAATAGCACTTTGTATTGAGGAGGGTTGCTACTATGTATTGCAAAAAGCTGTATGGATCTAACAAGAATTGAAAAAAAGAATGAAAAAAAAAAAGAGAGAAGAAAATATGGTTAAAAATTTACACCTTTGAGCCCGCATCCCTCACTTCGTGTGCTACCTTTTTGGTGCTAAATGCATATTTTATAAAATCTTTGGGGTAAAAATTGTTTTTTCCCCCAAGCTCAGGGTTTTAATATTGTCACTTTCTTATTTTGCTATGCTCTGTGTTTGTCTGAAATTGGGAGAGAGAGAGAGAGAAGATGAATGTTGGGGAAGGAAGCACAGATAGAGGAGAGATTTGCAGCATAGGAAAAAGTAGTGGCAAATAAAATAATAAATGCATTTTAACAGTCTAAATCCATTTTTAATAATATTAGCATTACAAAGGAAAATATCAAACCATAGTGATACGACCTAATGGAATGTATCACAGAATTTCACTCACCAGAGGAATGTTAACATCATTATAAGGCTGATGAAAAAGGGGGACCAATCACACTTGGCAACCATTGCTTAAAGTAGGACACACCATCAGGGTCAGCATGAGAGAGAGCTCCAAGAGGAGTAACAACAATCTGAAAGTAAATTATGAGCATCTTTGTCAAATAAAAGCTATTATACTAAAATAAGTCACATTGAATTAGGCAAAGAGACACACATATCCTTCCCCAAGAAACTTCTTGTCTGTATCATCGTTATCAATTTGCCCCCGATTTACCTAGAAAAATTGGAAAAGCAATTTTAGAGTCAAGCAAAAGGTTTTGAGAAATCACTGTCCTTCCAATCAGGTTTTACTTTCCATATTAGCAATAAATAGGTATTAGTTTCATTAAGAATACATGCATACTAATGATATAAAGAATAAGTAAATAAATAAAATAAAAACTAACAGATTTTATGAGGAAGGTGAAATACCACTCTCTTGAACAAAAGATGTCCTAATGATATATTTGATGCATTAGTTTCCATCCTTCCCGCTGAATTTGTATCCATCTCCATGGTGGATAACATCTGTCCCTCTTGCTTTTCAAACTTAGTTTGCCTCCATGCCATTTTGAATAGAGCTTTACCCTGCTTGGTCAGCTTATATCCCTTTTGAGGTAGAAGAAATATCCCAAGACATCAATATAAACAGATGTAGAATCAATGCATAACAGAAAAACTGATATTCATGAGATAATTATAACATAGCTATCACCTCAAAAGCAGATTAATATTCACTTGCAGGCCCTATATGAAAAGTTCTTAATCACAATATCCACAGGGTTTGGCAATTTTATTATAATACTACAATCCTATTGTGCATAACAATCATAGAAAAAATAAAAAATGGAAAAAGAAAATATTGACAGGGTATATAGATGCTGGAACCCATGAAGATTGCAGGTTAGCAAGGCCACATTTGTATCTCAGACCTGTGAGCGAGACCTTCCCTTTGTGTACCATCAGCCCAAAACCATTTCATCAAATATAAGTTAAAACAAGTGGACACAGCATTAGCAACTTATTTTGAGGAAGATTGCCATCAGTATCAAGTTGATGATACCCAAAGAAAATTCAAAACATTGGCTTTTGTTTAAAAACTCAGACACAACCAATCCACCAAAAATAGAAGCTTAAGACCATTCCGCAAGCTGATCGCT